GCTCCCGCTCTGCCCGTACCGGTGACCCAGGGCAGGAGCGTGCAGCGGAGCGAGTCGGGGCCGCGCGTGCTCTGTGCTTGGGCCGGTTTCGCATCTTTTTTTTTTTTTGTTCACGAAACAGAAAGCAACAGGTTTCTGCCAGACTGAGGTCTCGCAGAGTTTTCTTTCCTCCACTCGATGGCTTCGACATGCAGGTGCCTTCCCCAGAGCCTGGCAGGGGTTTGATTTCAGCAGCAGCGAGTGCTGTGCCAGGCATCGCGGGCCCAGCCGGAGGCGAATGGCGAGACACCCGCCGAAGGGGATCCTCGTGTGGCAGGGTTAAAGCGTGCGCTGTAGCCGTCCGAGCTGTCTGAAAAGTATCTGCCCTAAACAAACTGCTCAGGCGTGAGCAAATAATCCTTGCCACCTGCCAGCCCCCGCGGCCCCGGCTTGGTTTTTCTGCTGTGACAAACCGTTTGTGGTGTTTTCACGCTACGGCACTCTACAACTCTTAGGAGCTTCCAGCTCTTCTGCAACGAGAAGGGTTTGAAGTAGTTGGAGGAATGCTGGAAGGGGGACTTTAAAAGAGCGGCAGAAATGTGAAAGCTGTAGCACCAGCCGTGCCCGCTTCTCACCAGGCCGGTAAATGAAGCGATCGGCAGGCCCAGGGCCGGAGGTTTTTTCAAACTTGGAGCCAGTTCTGTCCGTGCCTGGCCAGTGCTTGCTGGGCACTTTGTAGGCGGGGACCTGTGTTGCAATCTGACCTTGCTGGCTACAAAAAAAAAAAAAAAAAAAAAAAAAAGATTTTGCAAGGTCTTGTCCTGGAGGGAGGGGAAAAAAAAAAAAAAAATCCCAAGCCAGGTGGCAGATTCCATTTCCAAGCTCATTTGAAAGGGCGTCATCCGAGCAGAGCCGAAGTCAAAAGCTGCGGCACAAGCAAAGAGGAATCGATGAAAACAGGAATTCGCCGTTTACAGAAGCAGCACCTCTGCTCCCTCCCCACGCCTCCTCTCCTGGCTGCGAGCTGCAGTTCTCGTGCTGGGACGCTTCCGAGTGACATTAGATTTGGCCTCTCTCTTCTTAATGTCCCACTGGAAATGGTTTAGCTGGCCTTCCAAGATGCTAATCAGATTTACAAGAAGCAAATCGGGTACCATTAAAGGCACTGTCAGATCCCCCAAACCTACCACATACCATCTTTATCATCTGCTGTAGGAATACGTACGCCCAGAGCTCAGGCTTTCCTCCACACTGCAGTGAGTCATTTTTGAAAGGCCGTAATTATAAAATTTCCATTCTCCCTCTGCATCTACTCCTTGCACAGGAAAAGAAGAACAAGCTAAAGCAACCTTAGGTGACTTAAGAGATTTCAAATCTGAAATGCTAAAGTTTTATCTTTTTTTTTTTTTTTTTTTTCCCCCCCTTTCTTCTTCTTGTTTTAGGTAGTTCCGAAGCATAAGTTTGTCCTTGTGAAATTTGATACGCAATACCCGTACGGTGAGAAACAAGATGAGTTTAAAAAGCTGGCGGAGAGCTCAGGCTCCAGTGAAGATCTTCTGGTGGCTGAAGTGGGAATATCAGGTGAGGAACTCCGGACAGATTAGTACAGTATGGGTTGGTGCGGGGGAAATAAAATTCACCGCAATTTCTGATGAAAACAGGCTCTGGGGTGGCTCTGACAGTGAGGAGGGAGAGGGGCCGGCCCTGTCAGACCAAAGCACCAGCTCCGGTGGCCGAGCTCTGCCGCCGTGCCTCCCGCGGCAAGCGTAGGAGTGCTGCTTATCTCCTTTGGGCTGGTTAGCGAAGCAAGGCAGCCCACGCTGCTGAACTGTGTGCCACCCTCCTCGTTCGTAGCGCTTCTTGTCTTTTTTTTGGTTTTTTTTTCCTTTCTTTGCTGAGAGAAACCTGTCCTGCTGAGAGAAACCTGTCCATCCATTTCTAGGGATCAGGCCTCACAGGAACCATGCGTTTAGCCCCAAGCCTGGTCAAAAAAGCAAATGTGGTCTGACTGATTAACGGCAGCAACCGCGCCGTTTATTGCTGGTAAAGCACAGAAGGTGTTCCTTGCGCTATGGCTGGTGTGACTT